CTCTCCATTCAAAATAATCTATGTTTTCCACAAATAATCGTAATTCTTAACTGTAAAATGGTGACTTAGTCAAAGAACCTGTATTTCATGTTAAAAATACTTCCTTTAATAAAGCATGTTTGTGATCTCAAGGAAACCAAGTGTAGAAGAGTGTGAACATTAGCAGTCAGCAAAAGACCGAGAGCTTTCTGATGATGAATTACACCTGTAAGTGGGCTACTCCAATATTGTTATTTCTGGAATTTCAAGTATGAACTCTGCAAACAGCCAGACTACAAATTTCTATTCACTGGCAATAAACGTCTGCTACTTTGGTACCAAGTACAACAGGATATTATTGTTTACATATAGTCTTTACCTCCTAATTAGGGGAAAATCTGCCAAGTTATGTCCCTACTAAAGGGAATTTTAGAAATGGATGGAGGCACAGTGTTAGTGTGCAGTGGATTTTTTTCACTTTGAAGAAAAATGTCATCCTTGGAAAATATACTTCAGTGCAGAATAGATTTATTGGCCTTTTTCATTGGATCTTAATTTGATGACAAAACATTAAATGGATGTTGTGTTACATTGAATGCAGTTTTGACAATGGGTTCATTCACCCATTGTAGTTGCTAAGAAAACGTCCTTATATCCCTGTGTTAAAATGGCTTACAATTTCAAAGAATCATCTCAAAAGGTGATTAATTTATACATTAGCTTAAAGAAATCTTTTCATACTCATTTGAAGCTTTTTTCCTTAAAAATAATCGAAACACATTTGTGCACTGCAACATTATTGGGCGCCTCTGCAAAATCACAGTGCATAAATTACAAAGCAAGCCTTTTCTCAGTAAGCACAGAGCTGAGCATGAATCATAATAATATGCTCTTAATCCCCAAAGCAGAGCAGAGCTAAACGCATCTTCAAAATGTTCAAGAACTGTTACCTTTTTGTTTTGCTTTGTTTTAACTATACTGCAGCAAGCTTAAATCTCTATCGTCGCATTGCTCCAGGCAGTGTCTCTGCATACATGCTTTCATCCTTTCGATTTATGTGAGAGGAGTTCTTCACGGCGTGTGTGGTTTGGTTCTAACTCTAGTTACATTGCATCGTTCCCTCCTGCAACTGCTTTCACTTGAGGTCCAACAGCAACTTTCTTGTTATAACATCCTCAGGGAATACTACGATGCTTTATATGTTTACTGAGTCTCATTACTTAATTGTCATGACTGTATCAATGTTAATCTCTGAAACTTTCAGGCATGGAGCATTCAGCCCCATAGTGAGTGTCTGAACACTAGTGCTGCAGAACGGTAGGCTCTACTGTATTACAAAAGAATGCAGTAATCAAAGTGTCTTTGGTTATAAATCTTGATTGAAATGATCTGTCATTGCTGGTCAGTTTAATATATTCATTACATTATTTCGGTAAAAAGATTCCTAGAAATATCCAGTTGCTTAGTCATTCTTAAGCTGGCTTAAGAACTTCTTCTGTACGCTTTATCACCCCATGACATAGCAAATTCACAACGCTTTTTTTGTTTTTAATCTATGCATTTTGTATTTTTAACACTGCCTTTTTCCTAGCAACATAGGAAATTATTTGATCACAAAGATTAAAGAGCAAAACACGACCTGGGAATAAATATCCTAATATGATCAGCATATCACAGGTCTGCCTCGCTCTTCATTCACGAAAACCAAACTCATCACTAATGAGGGATCACTAATGAGTTCAGAACTTGCAATGCCAGCCCCTGAAGTAAGATAAGACTTGGTTTATATTCTGGCCAAAGCACGAGCCAAAGGTAAGTCTGTGCCAAGGCATCAGACGCTGCCCAACTGTCTCCTGTGACTCCACCACTCCTGGCCCTATGGCAGGTTACAGAAGTGCAGGAATAGCAGTAATGCTGCCTTGGGCTCCAGGAGGAAGTTTTTCACGCAGAGGGAGGTGAGGCACTGGAACAGGTTGCCCAAGCAGGCTGTGGATGCCCCATCCCTGGAGGCATTCAAGACCAGGCTGGACGTGGCTCTGGGCAGCCTGGTCTGCTGGTTGGCGACCTGCACACAGCAGGGGGTTGGAACCAGATGATCACTGTGGGCCTTTCCAACCCAGGCCATTCTATGATTCTATGATCTGTTAGCCCTGTAGTTTGCCTCTTGCAGAAAGCATTAACACCCTTTGTACCCCTTGTACATGGTCTGTTTATGTGGTAGTCAGCTCCCAGATGGACGGAACCATTAAGATCAAACCAGTTGTTCATAACAATATGAAAAGAGAAGGGAATTTTCTTATCTGCAGATACATTACTTTAAGGCTGTGCCAGGAGATGTATATCTCAATCAAAAAACATCACCTTTTTTTTCCTCCTCACAATGGATGAAATCCTTGTATGTGATTTTTATGATGCTTGGGAAGTGGATGAAAAATCACAAAAGTTGCCAAATGTGTAACTGGAAAAACTGCTTTGGAGTGGGAGGGGGAGCTTAGAAATAAGCAGCTGCTGTGTTATCAAAAGCTTTTACAAAAATTAATTATGTCTCATTACTGAAACTGACTGCTTCTGGGAGTTATTTTCCTGCAGACACTATAAGATGTTCAGCTTAACTTTCTAAAGTGCACCTCATGTCCACTGAACAGGAATCATCAACAAGAGCACAAGGCACCTGAGGGTGCACGGAGTGCACGCTTTTGAAAGCATGACGTACCGAGAAACTGAAGCTCCAACTATTTGTGGGTTCCATTTTCTGATTTCTTTGAATCCAAGTCCAGTTAACCAAAGAATGTTGTCTGGGCTAGAAGTTCAACTTCCATAAGTGTCACTGATATGCAGTGCATTTTCACTGATGGCAATGGCAAAATATCATGGCATTGAATTGAATCTGAGTGTAATCTTCATTCCACTGCTCAGCTGCATTTGAATGAAGAGATTGCTGCGAAGAGGAAAAAAGAAGGCAAAAGACTCCCTAGATATAAGACCAACATTAAGCTACATCTTGTGAGACGTCAGAACACCTGACCAGCAATGCCCCAAAAGGGTCCTGTAAGGCTTCACATGCCACTACTTGCTTCACAGATGTCACTAAGGAGAGAAAGTTGAACTTGCAGCCCAAATCCTGTCTCTCAAAACGTCCTTCCTCACTCTTGGCCATCTAAACGCCAAGATGGCATCCGGCAGTATGATAAGGAGAAGTTGCTTCTTCAGATACACTGGCATCCCTCTGGGTTGGAAAAACCCCCAGCACTCCTATCAGATGTAATACATGCTTACAGCAAGAGTGAGGCTTCATTGGTTGAACAGGATTTTGAAATCCTCTGTTTTGACTCCTGGTTTAACGGAACTACAGAATGTAGCCATCTGCATCTGGGCAGTAAGACAGAAAACTTGCACCCACAGTTTGCAAAGCACTGAGCAGATTCAAGCTTCTTGTTTCTGCTGTGGGATTGAAGTCAAATAGCAAATGTAAGTAACTTAAGCATAAACCAGAGTAGTGATTTTTTGAAAATAGAAAATGATTCCTCTCCCAAATAATAGATTACAGTTCTGTATTTATGAATCACATGCTTAATTTTCAGGTGTTTCCTGTGGTATCTATGGAGTAAGATACCGTCAGGCATTCACAACAAGTTTTAAAAATACCTTTAAAAAAAAAAAAAAAGTGATATGAAATGCACAGTAACTCACCAGACAAATTCCAACAGTGTAACTGGATCACCTACGTAACTCTTTTTTTCCATGTAAACAGAGACCTATGATTAAAGTCTGAGCTCCCATAGTTTCGATGCATAAAAGTATGCATTACACACACCGTCTCAGCAGGCACTCATTATGCAGTCACAGCAGAGAAAAAGCAAATGCTTCACTGAACAAGGAGGAAAGGGGAGATTTTTCACTAGTTCTCTTGAAAGGTAGCAACAATGTAGAGAAAAGAGAAATTATTGCATACTTCTTTTGTATCCACAATTTGCAATAAAATTATTCGTTGATAATAAACAGCTAAAATGGTACTTCAGCTAAAAATTGTTTCTGGAATCCGTAAGCTTCAAGAATTTCTTGCCATTTGAAGAGTAGCTACATGAGTATATGAAACTAACTAGGAAATGTACAACCCGAGTAAATTATTAATTCCAGTTAAACCAGAAATAACAATCTGCCCTTTAAGGTTTGTGGGTAAATGATAAATGTGCAATGACTCCAGACACAGTTGCTAAAGCCTAGAGTTAACCCAGGAGATATGGTTTTGTTCTTTAATTTTTCTTCTACAGAAGAGGTAAATTAACCCATTGGCTTCAGCTACCATAAATAACACAGATTATGTCAACGTGTACACTTAAAAGAAAGCTACTCTTAGATGACATCATCCGTTCTTTCTCCAAAGCACACAGCATGCATTACCTTTAAGAAGTTTCTCCAGTTGTGTATAAAAACACAGGTTTCATGCACTACATATCCTGCTGCGCTCAACTTTAAAGTATTTGCTTCATTCACCTATTTGCAAGAGGAATGCATGCACAGTATGTCAACAGCTACCAAGACACCCAAGTTAAACACATCTCTGTGCAGCTGCAAGTATCCCAAAAGCTCTGGCTTGCATTGTGCCATTGTGCTGAGCACCAGTATGGCAAAGACAGAATGAAGTGTGGTTGGCTTCCGCTGCGCTTTCATTCGCTTGGTTCTACCCCTGCATTAAAACCATAAAACTCTGAACGAAGTGTTCCATTGCCTGTTGTGCAGGAAGGGCTAGATCCGAATGAGAAACAGCTGTCACTGCCTCATGGAAATCAAGATTTAATTGATTTTGCCACCTTGCACTGCAATGAATTTCTTCCCCGTTCCAAAAGTACAGATGAAACTAAGCTAAACTCCCAGTGGAACATTCCACAATGCGTTGATTAGGACACTGTTTTGTCAAGAAAAATAAAGAAATACAAAGCACTAATTTGATTAATGCATTAACCATTTATTTATAAAAAAATAGAATAATTAATCCATAGGAGTCTTGGGAACTTCCTGCCCTCACTGGAATACAGACATTAACCCCAGCACCCACCTGAGCCACCTATCAGCACTCCTCCTTGCACCGAGCTCTTGTGAAGCACTTCCTCCAGTAAATAAACAGTACTGACATGATTTTACTGAAACTTTCCAGAAAGCAACGCCCTCTCTTACAGGGACACGTGGTTTCAACACTTCAATGTATTGAATTATTTTGAGGTGTATTTTCAAAGAGTTGCACCTCTGTCATCCAAACCAGAAAACCTGTTCTTGATAAAGCTGCCTCTTACAGCCCTCTGTCGGTTCTGGAGTTAAGAAATCTGACTGTTGCACACCCAGTTGCACAACTCCTGAGCACCATGACTAGAACTACCTGGCAGTTCGAGGGCTTCCATCATCTGAAAGTAAGACCATTACTAAGAATGTAAAAAACAGGTTTATTCTTCAGCATGGAACTGAGATGGGAGCAAACCAACATTGGACGTCTCCAAAGAAGCAGTTTAAAAATACAGGATAGTGATTTCCTACACATCACAAGAGTGTGATCTGCTGTCCCGACTGATATAAATGAACACTGTTTATATCTGAGGAAAGAATTCATTTTTAAGAATGCAAACCAACACAGATTACCTGCTTAAATTAATGAAGCATGTAATGTATGCCAAGGACAAATCACACAGACTTTTTCACTCGTTCTAATCTGCAGCAGTTTTCACACACTCTTAAATTACTCTGGACATTTTGAAGGTTAAAATGCAATGAACTCTGAGAATATTAACATGAAGTTCAATGTGATGAACGTCAGCCATACACTGGCAGTACGGCATTTCATTTTCGCCAGGGGCAAGGCGAAAAGCATAAAGGAAACTTGTTACATTAAGAGATAAGCAGGAATTAGTAAGTGCTAAAGCTGAAACAGAAGATTACACAATTTTCTGCAGCATTCCCCCAATTCAAGCCTTACAACCGAAGAAGTCAAAGACAGTGCAGTGACTGTAAGACTGAGAAGCATTTAGTAATAAGAGCAGCTAAGACCTAAACTTTGGGGAGTGCTCTCAAAGTCTGCTTCTGGAAGAGCAATACTGCCCAGTGCACCAGGAGCAGCCTCTACACTCATTACTACACACTGATTACCCCATAAGTTCTTCCACTTATATCTTGCCACTACAGGTTCATAAATGAGACTAAATCAAATAATCCCTGAGAAAAATAGTAGCTGGTATTGAACTACTGAGTCATTGGGTCAAATGCTGTTAGGAAAGTCCAACTAGTAAGTTTTAGACTGCTATATGCCAAGCTTCAGCCCAGCCATCTGAAAGAGGCCCTGCTTTCAGCATATAGCCAGCCTGGGATCAGAGATGCCAAAAAATACATGAAGTATGTAACCATGGGCAGTGAGCCAAGCATTTAAATAACCCTACTACCCATTTAAGGGTAACATTTTTAACAGATGCAGTTGGTTACTAACTATACAGCAACTCCCATTCCCTCCAGCCTCCTCGGCCTTGATTTTGTTGAAATGTTGCCATTCTGTTGGCAACCTCATTTTCATAGCAGTTGTTGAACATGAGGTCTAAGGTGAAAAAACCCCATGGTGTCTGTTGTTGATGGGTTTGACTTTCTGCTGAACAGCAAACCGTTCTGCTGAATGGTTCCCACTGATTCCTCTTCCTACATGCACTGCTTTCTGCATCTTCACCTTTCTTAGAGCTTCGGTTTGGAAAGAACCACTGGAAGTCATTTAGTCCAAACATCCCGCTCCAAATAGGACCAGCATTGGCTGGTTTGCTCACAGACCGGCCAGGCAAGTTTTGAGAAACTTCAACAGCTGAGAACCCACAGCCTGCCTGGACAACTTCTTCGAGGTCTGGAGTTTCCTGCTATGAAGTGTTTTCCCCAACTCTAATCAGAACCTTTCTCACTGCAACCCGTGATCTTCAGTTCTTGCTTATTCCCATCCTTGGCAATCAGTACCACTTTCCACCTTCTTTGATTCTTCTGTATGTTAGAGGTCAATGAGGAGTTCACAATTTATAGCTTGTCCTGTTTTGGCTGGGATAGAGCCTCTCACAAATAAATTCCATCCGCTCTCCTGAAAACACACACATGAGCAGTTGTGTCTTGTGCAAGAATACTGCTATAAAACACAGATGAAAAGTCCATTTGTTTAGATTATTATAAGACAATAATGTTGATTATTGAAACGTACTTCAGGTTAAAGCTGTAGCATTTTCCAGCAAGCAGTTGCAGAAAATTCTGTCACAGTCTGGCAAAGTATTACAGCACGAACCTAGTCTTAAGCACTTAAGTAGTCCCATTGATCTTCAAAGGGATTATTCACATACTTAAGTTAAGCACATTATTAAATGTTTAGATGGATCACAGTCTAGGTCACTGTTTCAGTGTAAACTTGGCCCAGGTCTATATAATAACATCAGATTTTTTTTTTTCCTAGACTGTACAGTACTTAGAGTTGAATGCTAGTGACTACGTAAGTACAGACAAGGCATATTCTTAAAGAAGGGATTTGTTCTATTAGTTCTTTCACATTAGGGATCTGTAAGACACATAGTTCTATCAGATTAGAGCTGTAATTATTTGATTATAACATGTACACAGACAGATACGCAAAATACTGCTAGCAAGCATTGAACAAAACACTACAGAGCTTATTATTGACACTACTTGCAAGAGTAACTCAAGACTTAGCTGACTATCTGTATATATTCAATACAGACTGTAGACAGATTTAAAGCAAATATATGCTAACTCCGTAATGATGTCTTAAACTTGAAAGCAGCTAAGCACTGTCAAGTAGACAGAACATAATAAAATCATTAGTGTGTTCCAAGGTGGTTAAAATTACATGATGACTGTGGCTTTGATTAAATGCTAGGGAGGGGCAGGGAGGAAAACCCCATGAAACACAAGATCCCCAAGTCTCACTTCTAACTTCATCATTCTTTGTGCTTAGATTTAGTTCTAGTAGTGATAAAGTCTGTTTTCATTGCCAAAAGCATGGGATCACTGTAAATCGAAGATGTCTCTATTCTCACTATACATAAATTTTAATCTTCAAAAACAAAATTCAGGAGAAAATGTAAACAGGAAGAGCAGTGTTACAAGTGTCTATTCTCTTCTACGTGGCTTGCTCAAATAACACCATCAACATCAATACATCAATCCAACCATCAATCAAAACATCAACTGAAAAAATCCAGGAACTGAAAGATTTCTTCCGTGGTCCAGATTAAAATGTTTTAAGCTTTCTTATTAAATATATGTATCAAGAATTTCAGTTTGCAATCTACAGTAGGGCTCTGAAGTCCTGAATTTATTTGAGTAAAAAGAAAAGATGGAACACAACATAAGAAAAATACAGCAATAATATGTGGAACACATAATTCAACAGATTCATTCTTAAAGTATTAAACAAGTCTTTGAGCAAGCACGCAGTTTACCTACAATAAAGTTCTCTTATTTCATGAAGCAGTTTGCATGCAAGAACTCACCTTGGAAATAAAAAGCAATGCAATTTGAATTAGAAAATATGCATGGTTATAAAAATATCACAACTAAAATCATTATTATCAAAAGAAGGAATCCAGAAATCTTATTTTGATTAAACATAATAAAAACTTCTTAATTATTTCGCTCAAGTAAGAAGAAAATGCTTGGAAGAATTAAAGTGCTTTAAAAAGGACTAATTAAACCCATTCTTACCACTTTGAAGAGAAACTGGAATAGAAGAAGTGCCAGCATATTATCCACCAAGTCTGGCTTTCTTTGTTCACTATGAGAGCAGAAGTTTCCCCGACTTATTTCAAGAAGAGTGCTTTATTGTATGTATTTTTACCAGCATGTAGCCTAAGTACCATCAAGTACTTTGCATAGATTCCCACCAAGATCTGAGCTCTGTTGATGTTTGGCAGGTTTTGCAAGGTAACATCACATCCATTCATCTTCCCTAAAACATCCTGCCGGTCAGTTTCCAACATACATAATTCACTGTCAGTCATCTACAGAGATCAAAGGCAGCTGTGTCACGCCAAAAGCACTGTATTTGCACATTAAGTAAAGCATTGTGTCTGGTATAGAAACAGTCTAGTAGAAGCACCTTTTGTGTCAGTCATAAGCAGTTCTCTATTTGCAATTCAGTAACTACTTTGGGCTAATAGATTCTGTTTGTCTATCTAGTGAAACTTCTAAAATTCCTCCTAATGTTGATTTTAAATGCCAAAATTTACCAAGTGGTGATTTGAGAATCGCAGAGAAAGAGGTGTTTTGAAATAATTTTGTTGGAGTAAGTTTTACAAAATAACCTACCTTGACTGGGAAACAGCAAATCTACAAAGTTCGCATTTTCCGCTGTCTGGGTGTTTTGTTTGCTCGGCTGGTTTTTGTTTCAGAAAAAGGTAAAATGAAATCTTCGTTCATACTTTGGTGCTGTCCCTCTCCCTGCAGTCCCTAGGTAAAGAAAATGCCAGCAAAATCCTGCAATTAAACAACTATGAGCAAGTAAATCTCAACAGTGACATGCAAACAACCTTGCTGCCGTAGTTACAACTTCTAGCAAGGCCACAGTCCACCAGGTCTCTCAAACAGCAATCTCAACCAGAGACTCTGTAAAAACACAGTACCTCATTATTGTGGAGGGTAAGGAGAGCAGTAACAGTCACTTTTTCCTCTTTTCCTTACAGATGCAAACAATGCTGGAAGCACCAGTCAGTCAGACCACATGTTGGTTCTGCAACTGCCACCAATAAAAACTTGCAGCTAAATCCCCTGATATTAACTTGCTGATATGAGCAGCTCCAGATATTCAACTGGGGCCATATGTGCAGGATGCGTTAATAACCCCCCCCAAAAAACCATAGTATGTTGAACCAGCAAGTTTTGATTGCTATTACAGCTGGACTTTTATGTGCTAATTAGTTTTGCAAATTCAACGTTTGCACATTTTGTCAGACTCCTACACAGAGCCAACAACCAAAGTCACACTAACAGATCACTTTTGGTTTCCTTGGCTTTCTACCACCCAGCTCCTCACAGAGACTTACTTGTTTTCAGAGCAGCTCGTTATCTAGGAATCGATGATTCTTTAAGTCATCTGATGAATAATTTTTAAAAATAGATAGATTTTAATAATGTGATAAGGCATTCCATGTTACAGATGCAATGCACAGCAATGCAATAGCTGGCTGCAGGCAGTTCTGCTCTTGGGGCTGTGCGTAGCCCAGGCAGCCTGCAGTGGCAGCTCAGGGGTGCTCCCTTTGAGGCAGCCAAAGCAGATTCCCTGTGCCTGGCTATGGGCAGCTCTCACCTCAGGCCCTGCACTGGGACTGCCAGCTGTGCACTCCTACTGCCTCCACAGATGGGCTTGGGCTCGGGAAGCCCAAGCTTCTATAGGAAATAGCTTTGCTTGGTTGGAAGCACTCTTCAGTAGCAAACCTCACTATTAAGTGATGTGAAATAGAACCTTCCTTTCCTAAGCCATGTGCATCCATACCTTCTCTGGGATAAAAGGCAGGTACAGGTCAACAGCACTTCTGATCAGAAGACATTTCTCGCCTTCCAGAGCCTCTGTTTTCTATCTACATTAGGATAAGAGATCTCAGATAAGTAGGAGTGCTGAAAATGTGTTCTGTTCATTAATGCTTGTAGGACAGTTTCATAATTAGGTGCTGGAGGATAAGTAAGGACCGTGAAAGATATTGTTATCATTTTTTTGTTAGATCTAATTTACGTTATTCTCTTTCTTGTGGTTAGATACCAGGTTCCAATCCCAGAACTGTTGTGCTGAGCTCTGCTATCTACTATTTTTGCTCTGTTTTAAATTAATCTACTTTAGTTCTGGTCTAGATTGCCACCATCAGCATTGCTACATATCCCATTAGGCAGCTACAGCAATGATTTATTATTTAATGACAGCAGTGTGGCAGAAGTGCTGGTGTTATGTTTCTTAATATCTACAAAGAGTTCAATAAAACAATCTGCTGAAGGTCTTTTTGTTTCTCTGATGGACAAAGATATTTTCCACAGACAATACAGGAGAGCACACAGTACTAAGCATGAATCTCAGTAGGGAACCTCTGTTCTTTATTCAACTCAGTCAACATTTGTCAGGCATTTCCTGAGATATTAATTACTTCCCCAAATCATCCAAATTAAATACAGTTAATACATTCCAAAAGACTTACCTTCAGCACAGATGCACGGTTTGCAGGAGCTTAAACCAGCTGATCAGGTGCAGCAGGCATCTTACTGCATCCTCAAAGCCACAGAACTAGCCACAACAACGCACTGCTGGCACCTAGGCATAATATAAACTTCATATAAACACACACAACACTGCATGCAGAGCACTTTCACATTTTATCTTCAGCTGTGTATGTTAAAAGTGCCATAAGGGATCCTACATTTCCTTTTAAATATCAAGATCCGAGTTTCCAAAGCTGGAGAGCTAATTCACAAAGCCTAGCTTTAAGACACAATTCTATAAGCAGAAAATAAAACGGTCTGCAGAAAGCTTTTCTTTAACCATTTTATAGTCTGGTTGTTTCCACTGAATTAATAATAAAATCACTGCTTTCAGCAACGTGAAAGGGTGCCAAAGCATTGAAAACATCTATTATCACAGTATGATTACAAGGCACTTGGACAGTTCCTTTCCACTGAAATCAGCTGGGAATGCTTGAAGGTAATCTGAACCTGTAGAAGGTAGTCTATGAATCCAGGACAAGAGTGGGTAATAAGAATGGAAAAAACTCTAGATTCAGATCTATAAACTATTTATTTTTTTTCGTTGTGTACTCAGCTTTGGACTAATGACAATATTCTTGGAGTGGGATTCCTGAGGAAGCTTGGAGAGATCTCTCATGCGCAGATGACCCAGATTTACCCAGGCAGATTTACCCAGATGACTACGAAAGCAAAACGGCAACAGAAGCTACAACACAGAAATTGTAATCACAAGCATTTAAACTGCTGAGAATTATGGCTTTTAACTTAACTTTATTAAGACAGATATTTACAAAATGCACAGGGAATTTTTTAAGATTTCATAAGTTTTTGTTGTTGTTGTTGTTAGTTTTTAAAAAATAAAATTTCAGGCCTTCTTCTCTATAAATTGATCAAAATATGTTAAGATTCCATCAGAGTATTCATAAATGCAAAGCTGATTGGCACACAGGCTGATCACTGGGTACAGGACTGATCACTTCCACCTTCAGGCTACAAATCAAGTTCCGTTCAGGCTGCTTCACATACTTGACTCCATTAAAAACAGCAAAATGCATTTTAAAACCCCAAGCTTTGCATACACACTACTTTTCTTGCTTGCTCTGTTTCCTGATGGTTAATAATGCATATAAAAGGCCGAGGCCTGTGATAGGAAACAAATAGCTGGGATTTCCCAAAACTATGTAGACAATTATCAAGATGGATATCTCTATGACAATGTTTTAGAAAGGTCATCTCAACAAGGCATTGGTGGAAACACTGAGCTGAAGAACAAATCCTCTTCATGCTGATGACTTTGATGAATAGTGTTGTACAGAATAAGCACAATCTAAAGACAAACATGTCAATAGCATTAAAGTGGTGAAGAAGTGGTACATTTCAAGAGGCAGATAAAATTACATTTAAAAAGAAATTGTATTTAGAAATGTCATATCAGGGGAAAAGAAAACTGCAAGGAAAAAAATGATGCCTTAAAAGACTTGATAGTGCCCTTTAAGAAGTGCGGTAGGGTAAGCTGGTTCTTGGAATGCAATCTGTAATTTTCAGTTACAGCCCTCTGCAAAAAATGACAATAAACCTTTGCTGGAGTCATCTATGATATGTTCATAAGACATATAGCAACTCTTCATTTGACTGGGAGACAGTTTGTTGTACTGACTCAATTTCTAAATGTACTATCAGCAGAAATTGTCTAAAAAGGTACACAATTTTTATCACCACAAAAAGCCTTGGCTGCATTTGTCAAGGATCTTAGCAGACTGAAAAAGAGGCAAGTGTCATTATGGTACCCATGTTATGGCAACAGAATTAAAGGGAAGCACAGTAGGCACTGATAGATGCAGTGCATTTGAACAGGAACTTTGACAGCCTCCTTCCTTTTGCTTGCTTTCCTGGTTGCATGAGGCATTGACTCCTCGAGAGCAAGCTATTGTTGTAAACAAGTGAGAATCAAGCTCTATAACCCTGATACAGTTTTTCTGAATTTATAACCACACAAAGAAATCTATGCAAACCTTGGCTCTTATTTTGAACATTCTGGAAGAAAAAAATAAAATAAATCCCACTTTCTGGCTGGTATTGTTGGATAATTGGATTATTGGAAACTACCAGTTGAGTTACACACATTTCAGATTATAAAAACCACTTTTTTTTTTTTTACATGCTGCCATTTTTTAATGTAAGATACCATTCCAGCTGACCTTTTTTTATATATGTATGCATACATATAAATAAGTAGACATAGTGTACCTCCTTAAAAGCAGCAGGACATGCATGTACGCCTGCTGTGCCAAAGTACAACCCTGGCTCTTTGTTCTGGAACTGGACTCATCGTGAGCACTGCCAGGCACAGCAGGGCATCACAGGTAACTTAGAATTGATCCTCTTGAGGCAAGGGAACACATTTTATGTTTCTCCAGGCAATATCCTTGTGTAGAACTCATTCTTTCAGGAGTATAGGAGAACTTGGGTAGGAACACCATTAACAGCACAGAAGACAGTGGTAACCAAGACTCATTCAGGATGCCTGCACAGCTTGTGGAGACCACAAACACGTTATCCTCTTTTTATCTCACCTGCTGTGAAACAGAACAAACAGTATCCACTAAATGAACACTCACACAAATGGGACTGTGCGTGCCAAATGAATACGCTATGATGCATTAGTTAGTTTACTCCTTCAAAAATCACTCAGTCTCAGATGCTGTTCCTGCGTCCCCTTCAGCACAACAGGCCGCCAAATGCTGGAATTCTACACTGGCACTCAATAATATTTTGAATGCAATGGTCTAAAAGCTCTTTATGAAGTAGGATGACTGTAATGATCTCTTCCTACCTCCACGATGCAGAAAAGTAAATGTTACGCTTGGTGTCAGTCGATTTCCTTGATTTTGCTCTCCAGTAACAGCACAGCATCATGCCCATGGGTCAGTAAAGAAGCTGCTGCTGTCCATGTTTGGAATTCAGTTGTTTCTCACTGCTCCTTTCTAGCTGCACACTTCCAATATGTATCTATTTCTGGTGTCTCATTTGAGCAACCTGAGCTGACTACATCATTAAGAAAGTGAAAATAATTCTCAGCTTTTTATAGAATAATAACGAAGTTTAAATTATGTGAATTATAGAAGATGTTTGTGATGCATATCCTCTTCAATGACATTAATTAGTGCTTCTGATCATGTTAATTTTCTAGCAATGCAATTGCATTTACTCACCACAAGCACATACAGAGCAAACCTAAGTTTTAACAACGCTTTGCATCCAACAGCAGTGAACAGATGTAAGAAAATTCGTCACTGAATTTAAAAATACGTTAAAAAAGGGGAAAAAAAAGAAAAATAAAAGTAAGGGCTCACATTAGTAATCACCTGGAGATTACTTAACTTTCCCTGTACAGCTACAAAGAACACCACCAATGAATCAATCACTGTTGCTCTTGTAGCTTGGCTGACAATTGTGCTGTTGCAGAATTACTGTTTGGAGAGGAGAATCATGCACGTCAAACACACTGGCACTTAGCAGCTCTTTTTAAATCCTTTTCCTCCTTAAACTGCATAGGGAATTATTGCCTGACTGTGGTAACTGGCAGTTACAAGAAATACATATATATGTAGATAAACAGAGTAGATGTTACATTTCTAATGCAAGTAGGCATTTACCAAATAGAATAGCTGCTCCATGTGAGTTACTAAGGACGTTTGGTTTCCATAAGCAGAACGTCGTACAGGTGACAACTGATGCTTCTGGCAGCTTGCAGTGCATGCTACATGCATTTTAAACAGCAAGAAGATACGTAAAAGGTATTCGGGTAAATACTGTAGTGGTTTCCAAGTCCTGGAGGCTTTCACAGCAATGTGACACCGCACCTCAGGAGGAGGCAACAAACAATCGTGGCTTTAGATTTTAAGTACCAGGTGAAGAAACGCTTTCCTTGTGGAATCCTAAAGCTGCAAAACTTTGATATGTTGCATTCGCCCCGTGCCGTGTTCACAGGCACTAACAGCACGTTAGGTTCTGCTGTCTTCAGCTCTGCCAAAACCAATAGATCAGATTTCAAGTGGGTTTAAATACTTCTCTCTGGATCTGCTATTTTCAGGCTCTGCATTCAAGCCTAGCGACTTGCGCACACGCTCTCAACCCAAGCGTGCCGGGTGTTCACATGGCACAGAGGATGACGACAGCTGTGCTGGTGCTGCAGCTCCCTCCCCAGCAGGCAGACCCTGGCAGGAAGGCAGGGCTCAGCCACCCCCAGCCTGGCTGGGGCAGGACTCCATCAGTGACTCATTGCACAAACTCACAGCGTTCTCAGCAGTGAGATCATGAATTAAAAATGTTCCCGTTTTCTCAGGCGAAACATACGTAGCCGTGCTTCAAAAGTTTTGCCTTCTTTATAACTAATGTTTGCGAGAGGAATCAAAATATTTAAGGAAACCACGCTGTGAAATGACACTTGTTATATAAGTGTAAAAATACAGAATTCTTAGCCAAAAAATACCAAGGAAACAGGGCTGCAATTCTGATTTAAGACCAGATTTTTAAACACTACTTTCCTACTAGAAAGATGTCCTTCCAAGAACATCTAACTGTACAACCCCCCAGGGGTCAGTGCTGGAACTGATATTCTTTAATATTTTCATCAATTACACTGATAGTGGGAATGAGTGAAACTTCAGCAGTTTGCAGATGACACCAAGCCATGGGGTGTAGTCAAAACACCCAAAGGACGGGATGGCATCCAGAGAGACCCAGACAGGCTGAGCAGGGGACCCAGGAGAACCCAAAGAGGGTCAACAAAGCCAAGGGCAAGGTCTGGCACCTGGGTCATGGCAACCCTCACTACCAATACAAGCTTGGGAGTATAACAATATGCCAAAAGGGACCGGGGGGTGCTGGTGGATGGCAGCTGGAATGAGCCAGCACTGTGCCCTCACAGACCAGAAATCCAACTGGATACTGGGTGCATCCAAAGCAGCACAGCCAGCAGGGCGAGAAGAGGGGATCTGTGCATGTCCCTGTTTATTGCAGGGGACTTGGACTAGATGACTTGTGGAAGTCTCTTCCAACTCTGTAACA